ATTTTCCCCTATATCAAGCCTTTTATATTCCTTTATTATGAATTAGCTTCTTTTAGACTGTATAGCCTAAGGCTTCCCCCCCTCTAATTATTAATATAACCCTAAACAACTCCAAATAAATTCAAATAAATCAATTAAAAATCATGAATAATTAAAACCAATTTTTATTCCTATGTCACCAATTTATCAATTAGTGTTGGCTATCTTACCACAACCCATCAACTGCCAGTAAATGCAAGTTAGTCATCTTCAGACTAAAATACCCATAAACAAAGCCTGTAACCCCTTGCTCTATAACCCATAATTATCATAAATTTACAGAAGAATGTCCGTCTTCGATTCCCAACACATCTGTAATCAAACCCCAGTGATACACAGAGCTTCCAAAATGCAATTTTTAATGAAATAGCATTTGCCAAGCCTATGTAAAATTGTCATAACATCACATATTTTGTTAGGATGATTTTGTGCACTAGCCTGATCTGATCCTCTGCCTCTGCTACGTCATGTCACGTCAGCACTTCCTGTATCTCCTCGCTCCCCTCTCTCCTGTCTCTCATGACAAGGGACAAAGACACAGAAACAGCTTCTAGTAGTTAATGCACTCACTGAGTATTTCCAACCATTCAATATTCGTTTGTTCTACATTATTCACTCTAAGACTAAACTCAGAACTAAATAGATCGCTCAAAAACATTATTTTATTTTAATCCGTTATTTAATTATTTAATTCAATTTATTATAATCCGCTACCATATATCTAATTTATAAATTCAATAGGTTACAAAACAAGTTTCATCTTTAACCAATCGCAGTTTAAACTAGAATCATCGTGTTAAAATTTCTCCTCTGTCTGTCTATTTTCCCTTGCAGGGTAACGCCAAATGGGACCTATGACCTTAACCCACCATTTTGTTTTGTAGGCTCGGCACGACCTCATGTCGTAGTTTTTAGCCCCGTAAACTCAACACGTGTCCTAATCTCGTGTCATAAACTCCCCCTTTCTGTAGTGTAGTATCGCAAAATTAAACGCATGCGCACAGCCATTCAAAAATCCCTTTCCACCGTGGAAGGAAGATTCTCTACTCTCTCTCTCCCCAAACAGACAGAATAACACTCCAGCTGTAACTCCCATTTCCCCCTTATAGTCAAACAACATTTAACAGCGCTCACAAAACATATAACCTGACTTAAACACAGAGACAAATTTAAGAGACTTTAATCCATCGCAATGGAATCTCTAAGGATACGTTAGCATGTAGCACACAACACAATTAGCATTTAGCATTAGCCTCTAGCTAACTGCGGCCTATTACATAGAAACATACCCTGCACTGCCCTATCAATTTTAAACATATTTATCCTACCGTTTTTGCTACCGGGACTAATGACCATTACACCGAGAAATCAGACCCAATCAAACCACCCCGTCGGACGAGAGTCAAAATCATAATTACAATCAGATAAACCCCATGAATCCGAGCTCTCTTTAAGAAAAAAGAAACCCACCGTCCAACCCATTCTAATCGTGTAAACGGATTTGTCGGCCCGACATCTAAATGGCCCCCAATGGAGGTCATAAAGCGGTTACAGTGCCCCTAAAGAATGCGCATATCTGCCTTAATCGTACATTTCAATACTTAAATCCTACCGTTTAATGCTCTACATTCCAATTATCTGCCGTTTCAATGGAATAAATTTTAGCAGACTCTAGTCGACCGCAATAACGCCACCCGAGGCAAGGTCGGAATGGTGCATCTCTCCAGTGTACACAAGTCGTATCCAATCTAACAAACTCCGAAGCGGTAAGAAAAACTCACCATTTTTTTTTGGCCATGCTTCAAGCGAGTTAGCCTGGCGGTTGACTGAAACAAGGAAGAGACGCAAACCCAGCCCCACGTTGGGCGCCATTATGTCGTATATGATGAATGGTGGTCATTATTGCTGTCAACAAAGAGTCCGTTTTATGCTGCATCGTGTTAGAGGCTTTTAATAAAATCACGAGGTTACAGCATAAATGACAGGTGACATGACACCCGCAGAACGGCTCCCCCGATTTCCATGGCCGTTCTGACGTCTTCCTCGCCTAACCCCCCTATTTATAAACAACGAAGCTGACCTCTTCTGGCCAATCCCCAGTCTCCAAGACACTTCCGGTCTGCTGGATGTGGCGTTACACCTAAAACCTTCCCTCTGGATACTAACATAAACACATTCCATTTCTTCATGAAAACCATTTAACAAAGGCATAATCTTCAGATACTATACTATTGTTTGAGGAGAGTGCACAACAACAAAAAACGTATCACGGCAACTGGTTTAATACATTCACCTCTGAAGGTAAATAACGTACTTACATTCAGTAATCTTGCTCTGATTTGTCATCCTAAGGGTCCCAGAGATAAAATGTAGCATAGTTATGTTTGATAAAATCAATTTTTATATTCAAATGTAGGAATTGGTTCTACAGTTTGAACCCCTGCTGTCTCTGGCTCCACCCCCACCCCGCCCGGCCATCTAGATGAGTGAAAGTTAGTGTATAAGCTAATGATCCATCATGTGTGACATTCCTGGGAGTGTGTGAACTTACATTTTGTATTACCATATCAATTTTGTATGTTCTCTATAGTTATGTACTTGAAAATGTAGCAATTTACCAATTAGGCACATTTGGGCAGACGTGATACAAAATAGTCCAGTATTGCAATGCTTCACTGGATCAATCTGAAACTTTGCACACACACTGCTGCCATCTAGTGGTCAAAATCTAAATTAGGACTAAACTGCAATATTATATTGTGGCCTTTCTGTTACATTTCAAATATGATTAAAAAAATTAATAATAATAACGTCATGTTTTTTTGTTTGTATTATCTTTTACCAGCTCTAATGTGTTATATTCTCCTACATTAATTTCACATTTCCATAAACTTCAAAGTGTTTCCTTTTAAATGGTATCAAGAATATGCATATCATTGCTTCAGGTCCTGAGCTACAGGCAGTTAGATTTGGATATGTCATTTTAGGCGAACATTTGAAAAAAGGGTCCGATCCTTAAGAGGTTAAATTCAAAGGGCTTTATTGGAATGGGAAACATACACTACCGTTCAAAAGTTTGGGGTCACTTAGAAATGTCCTTGTTTTCGAAAGAAAAGCAATTTTTTTGACCATTAAAATAACATCAAATTGATCACCAATACAGTGTAGACATTGTTAATGTTGTAAATGGCTATTGTAGCTGGAAACGGCTGATATAGAATAAAATATCTACATAGGTGTACAGAGGCCCATTATCAGCAACCGTCAGTCCTGTGTTCCAATGGCACATTGGGGTTGCTAATCCAAGTTTATCATTTTAAAAGGCTAATTGATAATTAGAAAACCCTTTTGCAATTATGTTAGCACAGCTGAAAACTGTTGTGCTGATTAAATAAGCAATACAACTGGCCTTCTTGAGACTATCTGGAGCATCAGCAATTGTGGGTTCGACTACAGGCTCAAAATGTCCAGAAACAAAGAAGTTTCTTCTGAAACTCGTCAGTCTATTCTTGTTCTGAGAAATTAAGGCTATTCTATGCGAGAAATTGCCAAGAAACTGAAGATCTCGTACAACGCTGTGTACTACTCCCTTCACAGAACAGCGCAAACTGGCTCTAACCAGAATAGAATAGGCTTTTTCTTTGCAACTCTGCCTAGAAGGTCAGCATCCCGGAGTCGCCTCTTCACTGTTGACGTTGAGACTGGTGTTCTGCGGGTACTATTTAATGAATCTGCCAGTTGAGGACCTGTGCGGCGTCTGTTTCTCAAAATAGACACTCTAATGTATTTGTCCTCTTGCTCAGTTGTGCAACGGGGCCTCCCACTCCTCTTTCTATTCTGGTTAGAGCCAGTTTGCGCTGTTCTGTGAAGGGAGTAGTACACAGTGTTGTACGAGATTTTCAGATTCTTGGCAATTTCTCGCATAGCCTTCATTTCTCAAAACAAGAATAGACTGACGAGTTTCAGAAGAAAGTTATTTGTTTCTGGCCATTTTGAGCCTGTAATCAAACCCACAATTGCTGATGCTCCAGATACTCAACTAGTCTCAAGAAGGCCAGTTTTATTGCTCCTTTAATCAGCACAACAGTTTTCAGCTGTGCTAACATAATTGCAAAAGGGTTTTCTAATGATCAATTTGCCTTTTAAAATGATAAACTTGGATTAGCAAACACAACGTGCCATTGGAACACAGGATTGATGGTTGTTGATAATGGGCCTCTGTACACCTATGTAGATATTCCATAAAAAATCTGCCGTTTCCAGATACAATAGCCATTTACAACATTAACAATGTCTACACTGTATTTCTGATCAATTTGATGTTATTTTAATGGACAAAAAAATTGCTTTTCTTTCGAAAACAAGGAAATGTCTAAGTGACCCAAAACTTTTGAACGGTAGTGTATGTTTATATTACCAAAGCAAGTGAAATAGATAATAAACAGAAGTGAAATAAACAATAAAAAATGAATGGTAAATATTACACTCACAAGTTTCAAAGGAATAGACACATTTCAAACGTCATATTATGTCTATGTACAGTGTTATAATGATGTGCAAATAGTTAAAGTACAAAAGGGAATTATAAATAAACATAAATATGGGTGTGGTATTTACATGGTGTTCTTGGAAGAGAGAGCAGCAGAGCAGAGATAGAGAGAAGAGAGGAGAGAGAGAGAGAGAGGAGAGAGAGCGAGAGCGAGGGAGGGAAAGAGAGGAGAGAGAGAGGCGAGAGAGAGAGAGAGGGAGAGAAAGGAAAGAGCAAAGAGACAAGAGAAGGAGCGCGGAGAGAGAAAGAGCAAAGCGAACGGACCGACAGAAAGAAACGAAACGAGAAAGATAGCCTATCTCAGCGATCGTCATCTCTGCTCTCTAGCTCTCTCTCTATCTCTTCTCTCTCTCTCTCTCTTTTTTCTCTCTCTCTCTCTCTCTCTCTTTCTCTCTCTCTCTCCCACCCCCAGATTGAGAATCTGCAGGAGCAGCTGTGTGATAAGGACAAGCAGCTGGGGAACCTGAAGGACAGGGTGAAGTCTCTACAGACTGACTCCAGTAACACTGACACTGCACTGGCCACCCTGGAGGAGGCGCTCTCTGAGAAGGTACAGAACATAGAGATATAGGGCCCAGAGTTTCATGGTAGGAGAACTTAGAACCACAAGTTCAGGTCACATGACCTGTATATGCATTACTGAGTTTAGATGGAAATGTGAGCAACACACAATTGATCAAGAACTTGCTTTCAGTGTTGTTTTGTGGCTCGACTTTCCTCTGAAGAGAGACTGTATGTTTTCAAAAGTAATAAGGATTATGATATAGATAGCTCTGTTGTGGTAGACATAATGTGTTGTGGTAGACATAATGTGTTGATGGTAGACATAATGTGTTGTAGTAGACATAATGTGTTGATGGTAGACATAATGTGTTGATGGTAGACATAATGTGTTGATGGTAGACATAATGTGTTGTAGTAGACATAATGTGTTGTAGTAGACATAATGTGTTGTAGTAGACATAATGTGTTGATGGTAGAAATAATGTGTTGATGTGACATATGTGTGAGTACATAATGTGTTGTGGTAGACATAATGGTGTTGAGTAGACATAATGTGTTGTAGATAGTAGACATAATGTGTTGTAGTAGAAATAATGTGTTGTAGTAGACTAATGTTTTGATGGTAAAACATAATGTGTTGTAGTGGGACATAATGGTTGATGGTAGGACATAATGTGTTGATGGTAGACATAAGTGTTGATGGAAAGACATAATGTGTGGATGGTAGAAAAATGTGTTGTGGTAGACATAATGTTTTGATGTTAGACAATAATGTTTTTGTAGTAGACATAATGTGTGATGGTAGACATAATGTGTTGTGGGTGGGACTTTAATGTGTTGATGGTAGACATAATGTGTTGATGGTACACATAATGTGTTGAGGTGGGACATAATGTGTTGTAGTAGACAAAGTGTTGATGGTAGACATAATGTGTTGATGGTGGGACATTAATGTTTTGTGGTAAAACATAATGTGTTGATGGTAGACAAAAATGTGTTGATGGTAGACATAAGTGTTGATGGTAGACATAATGTGTTGATGTTAGACATAATGTGTTGATGGTAGACATAATATGTTGATGGTAGACATAATGTGTTGATGGTAGACATAATGTGTTGTGGTAGACATAATGTGTTGATGGTAGACAGAATGTGTTGATAGTAAACATAATGTGTTGATGGTAGACATAATGTGTTGATGTTAGACATAATGTGTTGTAGTAGACATAATGTGTTGATGGTAGACATAATGTGTTGATGGTAGACATAATGTGTTGTAGTAGACATAATGTGTTTATGGTAGACATAATGTGTTGTAGTAGACATAATGTGTTGATGGTAGACATAATGTGTTGATGGTAGACATAATGTGTTGATGGTAGACATCATGTGTTGTAGTAGACATAATGTGTTGATGGTAGACATAATGTGTTATGGTAGACATAAGGTGTTGATGGTAGACATAATATGTTGTGGTAGACATAATGTGTTGATGTTAGACATAATGTGTTTATGTACAGTACCAGTCAAAAGTTTGGACACACCTACTCATTGAAGGGTTTTTCTTTATATGTACTATTTTCTACATTGTAGAATAATAGTGAAGACATTAAATAACACATATGGAATAATGTAGTAACCAAAAAAGTGTTAAAGAAATCAAAATATATTTAATATTTGAGATTCTTCAAATAGCCACCCTTTGCCTTGATGCCAGCTTTGCACCCTCTTGGCATTCTCTCAACCAGCTTCACCTGGAATGCTTTTCCAACAGTCTTGAAGGAGTTCCCACATATGCTGAGCACTTGTTGGCTGCTTTTCCTTCACTCTGCCGTCCGACTCATCCCAAACCATCTCAATTGGGTTGAGGTCGGGGGATTGTGGAGGCTAGGTCATCTGATGGTACAGTGGCAAAAAAAGTATTTAGTCAGCCACCAATTGTGCAAGTTCTCCCACTTAAAAAGATGAGAGAGGCCTGTAATTTTCATCATAGGTACACGTCAACTATGACAGACAAAATGAGATTGTTTTTCTCCAGAAAATCACATTGTAGGATTTTTAATGAATTTATTTGCAAATTATGGTGGAAAATAAGTATTTGGTCAATAACAAAAGTTTCTCAATACTTTGTTATATACCCTTTGTTGGCAATGACACAGGTCAAATGTTTTCTGTAAGTCTTCACAAGGTTTTCACACACTGTTGCTGGTATTTTGGCCCATTCCTCCATGCAGATCTCCTCTAGAGCAGTGATGTTTTGGTGCTGTCGCTGGGCAACACGGACTTTCAACTCCCTCCAAAGATTTTCTATGGGGTTGAGATCTGGAGACTGGCTAGGCCACTCCAGGACCTTGAAATGCTTCTTACGAAGCCACTCCTTCGTTGCCCGGGCGGTGTGTTTGGGATCATTGTCATGCTGAAAGACCCAGCCACGTTTCATCTTCAATGCCCTTGCTGATGGAAGGAGGTTTTCACTCAAAATCTCACGATACATGGCCCCATTCATTCTTTCCTTTACACGGATCAGTCGTCCTGGTCCCTTTGCAGAAAAACAGCCCCAAAGCATGATGTTTCCACCCCCATGCTTCACAGTAGGTATGGTGTTCTTTGGATGCAACTCAGCATTCTTTGTCCTCCAAACACGACGAGTTGAGTTCTTACCAAAAAGTTATATTTTGGTTTCATCTGACCATATGACATTCTCTCAATCCTCTTCTGGATCATCCAAATGCACTCTAGCAAACTTCAGACGGGCCTGGACATGTACTGGCTTAAGTAGGGGTACACGTCTGGCACTGCAGGATTTGAGTCCCTGGCGGCGTAGTATGTTACTGATGGTAGGCTTTGTTACTTTGGTCCCAGCTCTCTGCAGGTCATTCACTAGGTCCCCCCGTGTGGTTCTGGGATTTTTGCTCACCGTTCCTGTGATCATTTTGACCCCACGGGGTGAGATCTTGCGTGGAGCCCCAGATCGAGGTTGATTATCAGTGGTCTTGTATGTCTTCCATTTCCTAATAATTGCTCCCACAGTTGATTTCTTCAAACCAAGCTGCTTACCTATTGCAGATTCAGTCTTCCCAGCCTGGTGCAGGTCTACAATTTTGTTTGTGGTGTCCTTTGACAGCTCTTTGGTCTTGGCCATAGTGGAGTTTGGAGTGTGACTGTTTGAGGTTGTGGACAGGTGTCTTTTATACTGATAACAAGTTCAAACAGGTGCCATTAATACAGGTAACGAGTGGAGGACAGAGGAGCCTCTTAAAGAAGAAGTTACAGGTCTGTGAGAGCCAGAAATCTTGCTTGTTTGTAGGTGACCAAATACTTATTTTCCACCATAATTTGCAAATAAATTCATTAAAAATCCTACGATGTGATTTTCGGGATATTTTTTTCTCAATTTGTCTGTCATAGTTGACGTGTACCTATGATGAAAATTACAGGCCTCTCTCATCTTTTTAAGTGGGAGAACTTGCACAATTGGTGGCTGACTAAATACTTTTTTTCCCCACTGTACATTTCTTGGTAAAATAGCCCTTACACAGCCTGGAGGTGTGTTGGGTCATTATCCTGCTGAAAAACAAATGATAGTCCCACTAAGCCCAAACCAGATGGGATGGCGTATCGCTGCAGAATGCTGTGGTAGCCATGCTGGTTAAGTGTGCCTTGAATTCCAAATAAATCACAGACAATGTCACCAGCAAAGCAACCCCACACCATAACACATCCACCTCCATGCTTTACGGTGTGAACTACACATGCGGAGATCATCCGTTCACCCACACCGCATCTCACAAAGACACAGCGGTTGCAACCAAAAATCTCCAATTTGGACTCCAGACCAAAGGACACATTTTCACCTGTCTAATGTCCATTGCTCGTGTTTCTTGCCCCAAGCTGGTCTCTTCTTCTTATTGGTGTCCTTTAGTAGTGGTTTCTATGCAGCAAAATCGACCATGAAGGCCTGATTCACACAGTCCCCTCTGAACAGTTGATGTTGAGATGTGTCTGTTACTTGAACTCTGTGAAGCATTTATTTGGGCTGTAATTTCTGAGGCTGGTAACTAATGAACTTATTCTCTGCAGCAGAGGTAACTCTGGTCTTCCATTCCTGTGGCGGTCCTCATGAGAGCCAGTTTCATCATAGTGCTTGATGGTTTTTGCGACTGCAAGTTCTTGAAATGTTCCGTATTGACTGACCTTCATGTCTTAAAGTAATGATGGCCTGTCGTTTCTCTTTGCTTATTTGAGCTGTCCTTGCCATAATATGGACATGGTCTTTTACTAAAAAGGGCTATCTTCTGTATACCCCCCCTACCTTGTCACAACACAACTGATTGGCTCAAACGCATTAAGAAGGAAAGAAATTCCACAAATTAACTTTTAAGAAGGCACATCTGTTAATTGAAATGCATTCCAGGTGACTACCTCATGAAGCTGGTTGAGAGAATGCCAAGAGTGTGCAAAGTGTCATCAAGGCAAAGGGTGGCTATTTGAAGAATCTCAAATATAAAATATATTTTGATGTGTTTAACACTTTTGGTTACTACATGATTCCATATGTGTTATTTCATAGTTTTGATGTATTCACTATTATTCTACAATGTAGAAAAAATTGGAATAATAAAGAAAAACCCTTGAATGAGTAGGTGTTCTAAAACGTTTGACTGTTGGTGTATGTATGTCTCTCTCTCTCAGGAGCGGATAATAGAGAGACTGAAGGAGCAGAGAGCGAGGGAGGACAATGAGAGGATGGACGAGGTAGAGTCCTATAAGAAGGAGAACAAGGACCTCAAGGAGAAAGTCAACACCCTCCATATGGAATTAACAGAGAAGGAGGTCAGTGTGTGTGTGTGCATGTGTGTGTGCGTGTGTGTGTGTGTGTGCATTTGCGTGTGTGTGTGCATTTGCGTGTGTATTTGTTTGTGAGCACATGTGTATTGCATGAGCAATTGGCAGTGAACAGTGAGCAAAATAATTGTACCATTTAAAATGCATGGGACGCTGCTCCCTCTGGCAGTGTGACTCAGTTAGGCCTGTTCAGTGTTTCTACTGCGCTGTGCCACCTGGTCTGGACTGGTCCTAACTGTCAGTGCTGTCCCTGTCTGTCCCCCTGCAGTCCAGTCTCATTGACCTGAAGGAGCATGCCTCCTCCCTGGCCTCCTCCAGCCTGAAGAAAGAGTCCAAGCTAAAGTCTCTGGAGATGGCCATCGAGCAGAAGAAAGAGGAGTGTAGTAAGTTGGAGACACAGTTACAGAAGGTAGGTGTCCTAGCACTGCATCACTTAAAAGTGTCAATGGAAGTGGGGAATACATGGCTGGGATTCAAAGATACAGCATTCTCCCAGAGGCCTTTGCGGTTTCATTCTGATGTCTATTTTGTAAACTAGCAATGACCACCTGAACAACTCATTTGGGACGGCCTCAGTGATTTAGTCTGTCACAGTTAAAATCACTGTTAGAATCCCTGCTAAATGGATGGAGAGGATTTATAGTAACACTGTATGGTACAGAGCTTACTTATGTTTGATAATGGAGATGAACCTACAGTGCATTGTGCACAGTTCAGCCAGTATAAGTGGTTCAATGGAACAAGTGGAAGAGATCCCTTTTATACCATGATAATCTCCTCTACTAATCTGCTTCTCTTCAGTTGCATTTTTACAATTCAGTCTAAACCTGCAGTATGTAGACAGTGTTATACCTGTATGGCTGATGAAGACTTTTACTTTACCCTGCATCAAGTCCAGCTGGCAGGGATAGTCACATTAAAAGGGAAGTTCAGTATTGCATGTTTTCCCTTATCACTTACATTGATTTTTAGCTAGCTGTGGCTAAAGTTAGCTGAAGTTTGTAGTGGCTGTTTAAAGAAAACCGAACCATGTATTACAGATTCTCCTGGCCCATAGACTACTTTCAGTACGAGGAACCATCTTACATTAGGTTGGAAAATACTGAACTTCCCATTTAAACCACAAATTATTCAAGCATGTTTCATTAATCCAATTTTTGAAGAAAAAAATAATTATTCATTGCTATAATACAGTAACATCCTCAATTCAATACCATTTTGGTTACAACCCGGTTATGTGTGCTATCCCTGCTGGTTACTGGACTTGAGCGTGTGTAAAGCTGCCATGTTCTATCTGTCATGGTTGATAACAGGGTTGGGGTCAAATTCGAAAAGGAGGTAGTCAATTCAGGAAGTGATTTGAATTTAAACTTTAAACATTGAACATCTTTTGAAATAAATAGCTTCTACTTTTAAGTGTATTGAGAAGTCAATGAAAATACTGTAGATGGCTTTTTGATCAATTATTGAATTGGAATTTCAGTTTACTTCCTGAATTGACTGCCTTCAATTCAACTTAAACAAAACCCTGGTGGATCATTTTGAAGCATTCTCTACTATTAGCATGTCTGATATATACCACCTCATCAGTCCCTGCCAACACACATCCTTTTTACAATGCTGCTGCTGCTACTATTACACACATACACAACGCTGTAGCAACATTGTGAAAACGTCCAATCCTCCATAAATTCCCTGCTTGTTAAAACCCTCTTATCAACGGAATCAAATAATGTTGTTTTGACTTCCTATAGTGATAGACTGGAAAAACTAAATCAGAGTATTCCGCATTTAATTAACTTACTAACTGGATACTATTGGACCAGTTATGTCTGGTCGTCACTAGTTACCACAATCACAAAGTAATAAACCCTGCCTATTTCTACAGTTTCTCTCCTTAAAATCTATTTTTTTTTAAACCTAACCTCAACCCTAACCTTAACCATAATGCTAACCTTATGCCTAACCCTAACCTTAAATACATTTTTGTTTTCATACATTTTTACAATGTAGCCAATTTTGACTTTGTGGCTGTGATAATTAGTGGAAACCGTTATGTCTGGATAACGTTCAGATAATGTTCCTACGACACCGTAGAACCACTAAGATGGGGAGCTGAGATGTCCATCAGATCTCCCCCTTGTGTCCCTCTGTCCCATAACCACCCATTCTGTATCCTCCTCCTCCTCACTCCTCCTCCTCCTCACTCCTCCTCCTCCTCCTCCTCCTCCTCCTCCTCCTCCTCCTCCTCCTCCTCCTCCTCCTCCTCCTCCTCCTTCCTCTGTTCCTCTCCAGTGGTGCTAGCTGTCTCAACCATAGAAATAAAATTACCAAAATCAAGTCAATGTTCCATGATGGGTAGACCGGCTTCCGAATTGTGTGTAATTTTATTTATATGGTCTCAACATACTGTTCAACATGTACAGTAACATGTACATTAAACATGTTCTCTATATTGATACTGCTTTAACATGTAACATGTAGGCTAACATGTAACATATTTGTTCTTAGCCTGGTCCCAGAACTGTCTGTTTGGCATGACAAAGACCATAGGAGTTGGCAAGACAGCACAAACAGATCTGGTACCAGGCTAGTCTGTTCTACCCTGATCCCGCTGTTTCTACTCTCCTCTGGCTAATGGAGCTACATGCTAATGCTATCTTCCCCGGTCTCCCCCCTCCCCCTCCCTCCTCATCTCCCCACTTCACCACCTTCCTTTGCAATGTAGCAAGCAGAGCAGCTGTTCAGTCAGATGAACAACCCTGTAAGTCCTTCTTTGCTCTGTCCGGAGCTCTCTGTGGTGGCATTTATTGAAAGCATGAGGACACCCACCAAAAGCTACTCTAAAATCCTGGAACATGCTAGCTAGCTAGTGGGTAATTATGCCATGGTCACATGGTCTCAGTCCCACTGTCCCTGGTATCTCTTTCAGATAATGTAGATGCATGTTGACCTTTGCACTGTATAAGTATGATTTCGCTTTCCAACTACACACATATTAGCCTCTGTTCTGGGTGAACACAGTGTGAGGTGAGCATTTAGCTTAGCATTTAGCTTAACATTTAGCTTAGCATTTAGCTTATCTTAGCATAGCTTGCTATCTGTATGAACACACAGTTTGGGTTCTGTTTCTTTGCATCCTGATAGATAGCCTAATCTACCGTTGTTGCTCAACCCTTGGTCTCTGTTAGAAAGAATTGTATTAAGACTTGTACAATGGTGATATAATGTGTTTTTCACTGTGGTCGAAGCTTCAAAGCAAAAAAAAAGGGAGTTATGGATAGTTTCTTCTTCTATAGTGTTCTCACATCCGGCATCATGACTTATGACTGATAGTAAGATACCAAGATATCAATCAGCTCTGTACCATTATTTTAACAAACTCTGAATTAATAATCAACACATTTTTGTCTAACTGTAGGCCTTGCATACCTGTATAGGGCCTATAGGTGTGTGTCCCAAACAGCAGCCTACTCCCTATATAGTGCACTACTTTTGACCAGGGCCCAAAGGCTAGTCTTATCAGTTAGAGGTAAAAATGTATGCACACATGACTGTAAGTCGCTTTGGATCAAAGCGTCTGCTAAATGGCATATTATATTATATTATAGAGGGACACAACTGACGCCACCCACCGCTGAGACCTTTAGATTCCCCGAAACTGTTGGTGCTTACCTTACTCCTCATGCTTGAAATATGTCACTTGTTGTCACTGCTGGATTGTCCTGACTCTGTTCATAGGGAAAGCATTGCAAAGATTGTCTTCTCAGCTGTGTTGGTTTGCATGCTATGATTGGTCCTCCTTGTTATCGCACGCTTTGTTTTATCGTCACCGTTTGGCTCCCTTCACTGTCTACATGTTAATAAGTGGTCAATAGAACAGAGGTGTAATATTAAACTTCTAACACTGGCAATGGTTGATGTGGCTCAATGTGGTGATCTATATTTATCTAGTCATGCTCTCTCGTTGTGTTAGGTCTATTGTGTTGCTCTGTTGTGTTAGGTCTGTTGTGTTGGTCTGTTGTGTTAGGTCTGTTGTGTTAGGTCTGTTGTGTTAGGTCTGTTGTGTTAGGTCTGTTGTGTTGGTCTGTTGTGTTAGGTCTGTTGTGTTGGTCTGTTGTGTTAGGTCTGTTGTGTTGGTCTGTTGTGTTAGGTCTGTTGTGTTGGTCTGTTGTGTTAGGTCTGTTGTGTTAGGTCTGTTGTGTTGGTCTGTTGTGTTGGTCTGTTGTGTTGCTCTGTTGTGTTGCTCTGTTGTGTTGCTCTGTTGTGTTGCTCTGTGACTGTCAGCATTGCCGATGTGATGTCTCAGATGTGTTGTAACTTAGACACACTAGAGGTGATGAGGTGTGATTTTCCATAGAGATATGAGAGGAGAGGCCTCCTGTAGCTCAGTTGGTAGAGCATGGCGCTTGCAACGCCAGGGTTGTGGGTTCGATTCCCACGGGGGGCCAGTATGAAAAATGTATGCACTCACTAACTGTAAGTCGCTCTGTTTAAGAGCGTCTGCTAAATGACTAATGTAAAAATGAGAGTGATTCTACCAAGTGATTATAACTAGTGCCTGAATTCACAAAGCATCTCAGAGTAGGAGTGCTGACCTAGGATCTGTTTAATATTTTAGATCATAATGAATACGATTATATTGTCAGGTGAGGACCTGATCCTAGATCAGCACTCCTACTGGGAGATGCTTTGTGGATACAGGCCCTGGTCCTGTCCTTCCTGTACACACGGGGCCTGTTTCCCCAACCCAGATTAATCCTGCTTCTGGACTAAAATAAATGTATGATAAATGTTGAATCTCCATTGAAAGTGCTCTTTTGACCAGGACTAGGCTTAATCTGTTTCTGGGAAATTGGCCCACAGTCTGCTTTGGCTCCTAAAAAGTTATTGTTATGAGGTCAGCAAGTCTGTAAGAACCTACTCAGGTAAACGAATGATACTAAATGACAGATGTACAAATCTCAACTGTTCCATATCGCTTGTTTTTCTTGTTAGCATTAGCATATTGTAACAGGCACAAGTAGCCTTCAGTTCCAATCACTCTGGTACAGTAGTCTCACAGGACTGGTTAATTTAATGGAGCTAAATAACAGTCTCAGTCAGAGCTAATGAGCCATAGCAGTACTGATGTCCCCTGTTCACTATGCTTTATTCATACAGTACAGAGAGAGGGAAAGAGGGAGAGAGAAGCGAGAGGCGAGTGAGTAGTTCATTAAAGACACTGACTAACTGTGGAGCTTGTCTGTTCTGGGTTATCTCCCCTTTCTCCTATTTGTGTGAGTTGGTGCGTGCATGCCTGTGCGTGTGTTCCATGCATGCGTACGTGTGTGTGTTCATTCCTGCCTCCATTTGTGTGTGTGTGTGTTTTTCCCCATATCCATGACCATGCAGAAGGCCCATGAGGTCCATGAGGTCCAGCAGCAGCAGCAGGTGGGGCTGGGCTCCAGGGGGAACCCAGAGTATGTGGAGCGGGAGCGGGAGCAGCGAGTCAAGCTCCTAGAGAAGGAGGTTTCCTACTACAAGGAGGAGTCTGGCAAGGCCCAGGCCGAGGTGGATAGGCTACTAGCCATCCTCCGAGAGGTGGAGACTGAGAAGAATGACAAGGATAAGAAGATCGCCGAGCTGGAAAGGTAACTGGGCTATACTACCCTTAGCTTTACATTTCTATGGTACTCAGCAGAAGTGTTATATATATTTACAGATATGTCAAGTATGTAGGTGGTCCTCTGTAGCTCAGCTGGTAGAGCACGGCGCTTGTAACGCCAAGGTAGTGGGTTCGATCCCCGGGACCACCCATACACACAAAAAAAAATGTATGCACGCATGACTGTAAGTCGCTTTGGATAAAAGCGTCTGCTAAATGGCATATTATTATTATTATAATAGATAAATATATTGATGTTGAGGAGTTGGAGGTGTGGCGTAAGTATGGAAGTGCTATGGATGGATAGAGAAACAGACAGAATTATAGATAAATATAAACATATTTGTTGAACTGATTATCAGACTAACACCATATCCCCGGGTTAACGTCTAAGGCAATACTATTACTTACTGTTAATGCAATGTTTGAAAGTCTTATTTAATCACTACAAATCACTTGATTGAGTCACAGTATGAATGGGGGTTTTGATCGTTTTTTTGTGAGCAAGCAAGGCTATGGGTGAAACTCCTACAATGTGCAGCGAAGGTCATTGTATTTGTATGAAAATGCACTGGATGTGAGGGTCCTCTCCAAAAGGCCTTGTGTTGACTGCTTTATTGCTATGCGTTGTTTCTGTAACTCTGTGCAAGTTGGCTTTAATGTGCTCTTGTGTAGTTAATGTACTCTCTCATCCTGTCTTTGTTGATATATGGATGTTACGTCATCCTGTAAATCCCCCCCCGCCCGCCCGGGTATTGTGCTGACTGAAATCTACATCCTGCTTATAGAGTATTGATGAATATTTTAGTGTAAAATATTGCAGAAAATGGTGGGTCAAACTGTATGTGCTCGCCACATGAGCGCCCCCTGGCAATAATACGGTGCCATTGCATTTCAGTGTGTCATACTCATGCTGTGACTGATTCATTTAACTGAGTGTTTCTGTCCTTCTTTACCATCTTCGCCCAAATCTTCCCCCCTTTATATTTTCCTTGTTCATGCCAACGTCTCCTTTTTCCCTCTCTCCCTTCTTCCGTGTCACCTCTCTCTCTCTCTCTCTCTCTGTATCTCCCCAACACTTTCCCCTCACCCTCCTCCTCACGCTCCTCCTCCTATTCCCCCTGGCACAGCCCCCCTCACCTTTCCCCTGTCCCTCGCCCTGGCTTCGGCCTTGGCCCCGGCTCTGGCCCCGTCCCTCGTCACGGTCCCGGTGGTAGAGCTCCCCCTGACCCGCTCCCCCCTGTGTCCGCTGCCCCCCAGCAGATTGGGGGCATGGTGTGGGACTTCCTGGGAAAGTGAGTGCTCTGCCCCTGGCACTTCAGCTCGGCTGCCCTCGTGGTTTACGTCTGCGACTGCACCTGCATCTGGTCTCACCTGTTCATTTCTTTGGTTTGATTTGGAAGCCCATCGGCCCATCCATGTTATGTAAAGATCACTAGATCTGTTGTGCAAATTTTACAGCAGAAGTCTTGTCTGCACCGGTGTGTGTGTATCTTATGTTGTCTGTGCATGTCTTCAGCCTGCTTCTCCACCCGTGTCTGCACACACTTTATGACTCAGTAACTAAGGTGAGAATGGGCAATTGAAAACAAGCAATGTTATATATGACTAAACAAACTATATCAAAAACCAATCATCTACATTAGCATGTATGAATAAATACTTAAATATTTGTATTAATACTGAACTAATACTGTATGCATTAGATTTTACATATAAAAGCCATAAGGACGTCATATATTTCTCATATACAGTATGTAAGTTTCAACACATACAGTGCATTCAGAAAGTATTCAGACCCCTTGACTTTTTCCAAATTTTATTCTAAAATGGATTCATTATGTATTTTTTCTCATCAATCTACACACAATAACCCATAATGACAAAGCAAAAACAGGTTTCTATAAATGTTTGCAAATGTATTAAAAATAAACATCAGAAATACCTTATTTACATAAGTATTCAATCCCTTTGCTATGAGACTCGAAATTGAGGTCAGGTGCATCTTGTTTCCATTGATCATCCTTGAGATGTTTCTACAACTTGATTGGAGTCCACCTGTGGTAAATTCAATTGATTGGACATGACTTGGAAAGGCACACACCTGTCTATATAAGGTCCAACAGTTGACAGTGCATGTCAGAGCAAAATTTCAAGCCATGAGGTCGAAGGAATTGTCCATAGAGCTCCGAGACAGGATTGTGTCGTGGCACAGATCTGGGGAAGGGTACCAAAAAATGTCTGCAGCATTGAAGGACCCCAGGAACACAGTGGCCTCCATCATTCTTAAATGGAAGACGTTTCGAACCACCAAGACTCTTCCTAGAGCTGGCTGCCCGGCCAAACTGAGCAATAGGGGGAGAAGGGCCTTGGTCAGGGAGGTGACCAAGAACCCGATAGTCACTCTGACAGAGCTCCAGAGTTCCTCTGTGGAGATGGTAGTACCTTCCAGAAGGACAACCATCTCTGAAGCACTCCACCAATCAGGTCTTTATGGTAGCGTGGCCAGACGGAAGCCACTCCTCAGTAAAAGGCACATGACAGCCCGCTTGGAGTTTGACAAAAGGCACCTAAAGGACTCTCAGACCATGAGAAACAAGATTCTCTGGTCTGATGAAATTAAGATTGAACTCTTTGGCCTGAATACCAAGCGTCACATCTGGAGGAAACCTGGCACCATCCCTACGGTGAAGCATGGTGGTGGCAACATCATGCTGTGGGGATTTTTTTCAGCGGCATGGACTGGGAGACTAGTCAGCATCGAGGGAAAGATGAACGGAGCAAAGTACAGAGAGATCCTTGATGAAAACCTGCTTCAAAGCGCTCAGGACCTCAGACTGGTGCGAAGGTTCACCTTCCAACAGGACAACGACCCTAAGCACACAGCCTAGACAACACAGGAGTGGCTTCGGGAGAAGTCTCTGAATGTCCTTGAGTGGCCCAGCCAGAGCCCCGGACTTGAACCCGATCGAGCATCTCTGGAGAGACCTGAAAATAACTGTGCAGTAACGCTCCCCATCCAACTTGACAGAGCTTGAGAGGATCTGCAAAGAAGAATGGGAGAAACTCCCCAAATACAGGTGTGCCAAGCTTGTAGCGTCATACCGAAGAATACTTGAGGCTGTAATCGCTACCAAAGGGGCTTCAACAAAGTATTGAGTAAAGGCACTGAATGCTTATACAAATGTGATATTTCAGTTTTTTTTTTTATACGTGCAAACATTTCTAAAAAACAGTTTTTGCTTAGTGATTATGGGGTATTGTGTGTAGATTTCATCCATTTTAGAATAAGGCTGTAACGTAACAAAATGTGGAAAAAGTCAAGGGGTCTGAATACTTTTCGAATGCATATCATATGTATTCCTTTCATTTCCTGGATGATATTTCATTTGACAGTCCTGTTATGTCCCTTTACCATGAACTCACTCTCATTACAACAGAGTACCATTATAGGATCTGTACTGTAGCAAATGCACATATTGTACATGTACCTTACACATATACAATAACCAGACACTGATTCCACACACACACACATGCACACACTCACACACACACTTTTTTTCTGTGGCCTTTTGTGTGTTGGCTGTTTGGTGTAGCTTCGGTACACTCTTAGAAAAAAGGGTTCCAGAAGGGTTCTTCGTCTGTCCCCATAGGATAATCCTTTTTGGTTCCAGGGGAAAGTGTTCTACAAAGGGTTCTCCTATGGGAATAGCTGAAGAACCATTTTAGGTTCTAGATAGGACCTTCCTACACTCTTAGAAAAAAAGGAACCCTTTGAAGAAGCCTTTTTGGTTCCAGGTAGAACCCTTTTGGTTCCAGGTAGGACCCTATTGGGTTCCATGTAGAACCCTTTCCCCTGGAACCAAAAAGGATTCTCCTATGGGGACAGACGAAGAACCCTTCTGGAACCCTTTTTTCTAAGAGTGTAGGAAGGTCTTTAGAGCTGAGTCCTTCTCCTGCTGTGAGCATGCTGCTTCCCCTGCTCATTCCTACCCCGCATCTGACCACCTTCACCCCAAACCCTCCCCCAGAACCAACCTCACCCTTCGATGTTCTGATACCATCACCCCTCCCCAGAACCACCCTCAACCTTCACTGCTCCGATACCTCCACCCCTAACCCTCCCCCAGAACCACCCTCACCCTTCTCTGTTCCGATACCTCCACCCCTCCTCCAGAACCATCCTCATCCTTCACTGCTTCGATACCTCCACCCTACTACTAACAGTGACTCCCACCTTCTCTACACTGACCTATGCCCTGCTCTCCCCTGCCCTCTCCCCTTCCCTATCCAGCTTGCTGTGCCCGATGTAAATGCTAGCTCTCAGCCTAGTAGCCTGGCCTGCATGACTAGAGCTGCTGTGCTCCAGGTCAACAGTGTTTTGCTCTGTGAGTGAGCTGTTTAGTAGGTAGGGTCTGTATGTACTGTCCCCCTCTGTCTGGCTGTCTGCCATGGCTCCCTTGACTGGTTCCCTTGACTGGTTCCCTTGCTGCCTTGCCCACTTGGTCTCCTCTCCTCCTTGCTGTTTAGTATACTAGCTCTCTCGTCCCCCCCCCCCCCCCCCTCCTACTAGTCTACCCTCGCTCACTCCCCCTCTCTCTATCACGGCTAGTGTCCTCTGTCCCCTCTGTCTGACTGACTGCATGCCCGGCCCACACTCACAGGCTATGCAGCCAGCAGCTAATACAAAGACATACAGGGTTCTAACCTGGCTGTCAGAGGAGAAGGTGTATCCTGTGCATCCCGCGTTAGCTATGTCCGTTAGGCTGCTGTGTCTTCCAGTGACTGTCTCTCATTGGTGCCTCTGATGATGATGATGATGATGATGATGATCTTTCCCTGTCTGTTTCTGACTGTGTACACTCTGACCTATTCTGGTTCTGGGTCCTCGGTTGTCCTTCTTCTTGTCTGATTCTAATGTTTTATTTTTTTACTCTTCTCCTCCTGTCTCCTGTGTCTGTCCACTGTTTCCTCTTGTCCTGCCATCCCTCCTTACACCTCCTCCTCCTCTTCCTCCTCTTCCTCCACTCTTCCGTCTGCAGCCTAGCTCCCAGGTAAGTAGCGAACCTTCATTAGCACCCCCCCATCTCCCCCCCCACCACCACCAGCCCCATCCCTTCACCTGAGAGGTGCGACTCCCCCCTACTATTCTAACTCTGGTGCCTAAACCTGTGAGCCATTTCAGAGATCTCTAAACATATTAACATGGACATGTATATGTCTCATCTGTGTCTCATGTCTCCTGAATGTTGTTCATTGGTTTTAGATTCAAATTTCAGTGTCAGTTACAGTACCTGTATGTCTAACCTGAGTTTCTTGATGTGCCATATATATACTGAACAAAAATATAAATGTAACATGCAACAATTTCAAAGATTTTACTGAGTTACAGTTCATATAAGGAAATCAGTCAATTGAAATTAATTCATAAGCCCCTAATCTATGGATTTCACATGACTGGGAAACAGATATGCATCTGTTGGTCAAGGATGCCTTAAAAAAAAGGTAGGGGCGTGGATCAGAAAACCAGTCAGTATCTGGTGTGACCACCATTTGCCTCATGCAGCACAACATATCTCCTTCCCATAGAGTTGATCAGGCTGTTGATTGTGGCCTGTGGAATGTTGTCCCACTCCTCTTCAATGGCTGTGCGAAGTTGCTGGATATTGGCGGGAACTGGAACACGCTGTCGTACACGTCGATCCAGAGCATCCAAAACATGCTCAATGGCTGACATATCTGGTGAGTATGCAGGCCATGGAAGAACTGGGACATTTTCAGCTTCCAGGAATTGTGTACAGATCCTTGCGACATGGGGCCATGCATTATCATGCTGAAACATGAGGTGATGGCAGCAGATGAATGGCACGACAATGGGCCTCAAGATCTCGTCACAGTATCTCTGTGCATTCAAATTGCCATCTATAAAATGGCAATTTGTTCATTGTCTGTAGCTTATGCCTGCCCATACCATAACCCCACCACCACCATGGGGCACTCTGTTCACAACGTTGACATCAGCACACCGCTCGTCCACGTGATGGCAGACAATGCTGTCTGCCATCTGTAACGCTGTCTGCCATCTGCCCGGTAGAGTTGAAACCGGGATTCATCCGTGAAGAGTACACTTCTCCAGCATGACAGTGGCCATCGAAGGTGAGCATTTGCCCACTGAAGTCAGTTACGACGCCGAACTGCAGTCAGGTCAAGACCCTTGTGAGGACGACGAGCACACAGATGAGCTTCCCTGAGATGGTTTCTGACAGTTGGTGCAGAAATTCTTCGGTTGTGAAACCAACAGTCTCAGACGATCCCGCAGGTGAAGAAGCCGGATGTAGAGGTCCTCGGCTGGCGTGATTTCACGTGGTCTGCGGTTGTGGAGCCGGTTGGACGTACTGCAAAATTCTCTGAAATGACATTGGAGGCGGCTTGTGATAGACAAATTAACATTAAATTCACTGGCAACTGCTCTGGTGGACATTCCTGCAGTCAGCATGCCAATTGCACGCTCCCTCAAAACTTGAGACATCTGTGACATTGTTATGTGACAAAACGCACATGTTAGAGTGGCTTTTTATTGTCCCCAGCACAAGGTGCACCTGTGTAATGATCATGCTGTTTAATCAACTTCTTGATATGCCACACTTGTCTGGTGGATGGATTATCTTGGCAAAGGAGAAATGCTCACCAACAGGGATGTAAACAAATTTGTGGACAAAATGTGAGAAAAATAAGCTTTTTGTGCATGTGGAAAATTTCAGCTATCTTTTATTTCAGCTCATGAAACACGGGACCAACACTTTATTTTGTTCAGTGTATATACAGTTGAAGTTGGAAGTTTACATACACTTAGGTTGGAGTCATTAAAACTATTTTTTCAACCACTCCACAAATTTCCAGTTAACAAACTACAGTTTTGGTAAGTCGGTTAGGACATCTACTTTGTGCATGACACAAGTAATTTTTCCAACAATTGTTTACAGACAGATTATTTCACGTATAATTCACTGTATCACAATTCCAGTGGGTCAGAAGTTTACATACACTAAGTTGACTGTGCCTTTAAACAGCTTGGAAAATTCCAGGAAAAGATGGCTTTAGAAGCTTCTGATAGGCTAATTGACATAATTTGAGTCAATTGGAGGTGTACCTGTGGATGTAGTTCAAGGCCTACCTTCAAACTCAGTGCCTCTTTGCTTGACATCATGGGAAAATCAAAAGAAAGCCAAGACCTCAGAAAAAAGATTGTAGACCTCCACAAGTCTGGTTCATCCTTGGGAGCAATTTCCAAACGCCTGAAGGTACCACGTTCATCTGTACAAACAATAGTATGCAACTATAAACACCATGGGACCACACAGCCGTCATACTGCTCAGGAAGGAGACGCGTTCTGTCTCCTAGAGATGAAAGTACTTTGGTGCGAAAAGTGCAAATCAATCCCAGAACAACAGCAAAGGACCTTGTGAAGATGCTGGAGGAAACAGGTACAAAAGTATCTATATCCACAGTAAAACAAGTCCTATATCAACATAACCTGAAAGACCGCTCAGCAAGGAAGAAGCCACTGCTCCAAAACCGCCATAAAAAAGCCAGACTACGGTTTGCAACTGCACATGAGGACAAAAATCAGACTTTTTGGAGAAATGTCCTCTGGTCTGATGAAACAAAAATATAACTGTTTGGCCATAATGACCATCTTTATGTTTGGAGGAAAAAGGGGGGAAACTTGCAAGCCGAAGAACACCATCCCAACCGTGAAGCACGGGGGTGGTAGCATCATGCTATGGGGGTGCTTTGCTGCAGGAGGGACTGGTGCACTTCACAAAATAGATGGCATCATGAGGAAGGAAAATTATGTGGATATATTGAAGCAACATCTCAAGACATCAGTCAGGAAGTCTTCCAAATGGACAATGACCCCAAGCATACTTCCAAAGTTGTGGCAAAATGGCTTAAGGACAACAAAGTCAAGGTATTGGAGTGGCCATCACAAAGCCCTGACCTCAATACTATAGAACATTTGTGGGCAGAACTGAAAAAGCATGTGCGAGCAAGGAGGCCTACAAACCTGACTCAGTTACACCAGCTCTGTCAGGAGGAATGGGCCAAAATTCACCCAACTTATTGTGGGAAGCTTGTGGAAGGCTACCCGAAACGTTTGACTCAAGTTAAACAATTTAAAGTCAATGCTACCAAATACTAATTGAGTGTATGTAAACCTCTGACCCACTATTTACCTATAAAGTACAGTAAACAAAGTATTAGTAATGCCTCAAAAGTTGATTCCCCAACCCAAAGGGACGTAGGAACCATTGGTACCGGAAGTTCTGCTTGTGGTGCAGTAAGACGGTGACTAGTATGATAGAGGATTGAACTCTGACCCAATCTGTGGTTCTCCATCCAGGCAGACCAAGGAGCAGGTTACTAAGAAGGGGGGTCCCAACCTCAAACTGGGCCCCCAGGGAGACAAGAAGCCTGGTCAGATAATGGGGGACCCTCGAAAGGACAACACCATGGACCTTGGTCAGCATATAAAGGTCTGTTTATAAAGTGTGCGTGTGTGCTTGCATGTCTGTGTGAGTGCCTACTTCTTTGCATGCATGTGTCTTTCTGTGAGACATAGAAAATACAGTATGTCTGTAATTCCTGTGTGTGTATGTGTGTCAGCTGGAGGAGATGGTGAACACCCTAGAGAGGACCAGACAGGAGCTGGACGCTACCAAGCAGCGCCTCTCGTCTACCCAGCAGTCCCTGCAGGAGAGGGACGGTAACCTGACCAACATGAGACAGGAGCGCAGGAAACAGCTGGAGGAAATCCTGGAGATGAAGTAAGTCACGGGATGTCGTGCTGTACATCAGCAGAGCAATGAAACATGTTCATATTCATGTTCATATTCTGTTTAACAATGGTTATCAAAAAGAGCTGCAGTCAAATCATTCAAATAGGTCAAGGATATAAAGCAGAACTGGCTTGGTCGTGTGAATGCTCAAATGCCATGTCAATACTTTTTTGTTTCTCTTAAATAGAGAGAAATGGTTAAAGATGCTATCTTCAGATATGGGAAAGATGCATGTTTTGTCTCAGCTGTGCTGACTGGTATCTTTCTCTCTTGTCTGTCTATAGACAACAGGCCCTGCTGGCAGCCATCAGTGAGAAGGATGCTAACATCGCCCTGCTAGAGCTGTCTGCCTCTGGGAAGAAGAAGACCCAGGAAGAGGTTCTGGCTCTGAAGAGGGAGAAGGACAGATTAATGCACCAGCTAAAACAGCAGGTCAGGCCTGGTGACACAACTCAGGTAGCCATTATATTCAACCTTTACTCAGGGTCCATTCCATTTCAATTAAGTCAATTCAGTAAGTAAACTGAAATTTTAATTGGAATTGGAATTTCAGTTTACTTCCTGAATTGACTGAATTAAAATGGAATTGACTCCAACCCTGCCTTTATGTACACAGGTTTGTCTCATTGAGATCCAAAAATAATATTTTGCAGGAAGGACCTGCTCACGATAGAAGCAGTTGTTCCGTTATAAGCTTATTTCAGCTACTCAGTTGCTACTCTCTCGCTGCTAACTCAATCAAGTCCTTCCATTCATAATGACTAACTCAGTGTTTGGGTCTCTCGTGTTAAATTGTAGCACTTACGTTTTTGTGTTTTATTCCACAGACACAGAGCAGGATGAAGCTAATGGCAGACAACTATGAAGACGACCACTACCACCCCCATACCCCCTTCCATGCCCAACCCCAGCAACCCCACCCGGGTCCCCAGCCTCAGCCACAGTCCCCCCAGCACCAGTACCAGCATCCTCCACATCCCCAGCAGCAGCAGCAGCCCCCGTACCCCCATGCCCCACACCCCCAGCACCCCCAGCCCCCACCCCAACAACACCCTCACCCCCAGCAGCCTCAACAGCAGTACCCCCCTCACCCCCAACAGCACCCGCAGGGGCACCCCCAACAGCACCTGCAGGGGCACCCCCAACAGCCCCCACCCCAGCACCAACACCAACCACGGCCTCAGCACCCGCTGCAAGCCCAGCACCCACACTCACAACAACAACACCCCCACCCAGGACAGCATCCCCACGGGCCTCCGCCACAGCAGCAGCACCCCCACCCCCAACAGCACCCACAGCAGCACCCTCACGGCTCCCCGCAGCAAGCCCCCCACCCCCAGCACCCACACCCCCAGCACCCCCAGCAGCACCCCCATCACTCTCCCCATGCCCCGCAACAGCAAGGCGGGCACCCCCGCCACCCACCCCCACACCACCGTGGAGGACCAGGGCCTGCCAGAGGACCCCCCCATGCCGGCCACCGCCCCTCCCACGACCAGGTCACTTGTCTCCCTTTCTTGTGTTTACAATCAGGGGCTTGATTCATAAAGCATCTCAGAGTAGCAGTGCTGATCTAGGGTCATATTAATTATGCAAAACTGAGACGTTTTATGACTACGGGCCCAGAACTCTGATTGTAAGGCTTTTACTCTTTGTAGCTACTAAAGTGGTGCACGTACTCTACTTATTCAAAGCCATATTCTCTTATTTACTCAGAATGTATTGCATTGCCATTGCCAACTCTAAAGAGAACCCTTTAAATGGTTGACATTATGGCAAATATTTAGGTCCATTATGTTTTTGCAATAACAGATGTTTTTGCGGACAATATTAGACAAAAAGCAGGCTGTCCCTCTGTATCCTGTCCTCCTTGTGGTGTGGTGGTCTAATGGCCAGAGTGTGCATCGTGCGTCTAAATCTATGTTTAGATGAACTCTAAGGCTGCGTCTCAAATGGCACCCTATTCCCTGTACTGCACTGCTTTTGACCAGAGCCCTGTGAGAACTCTACTGCAGTGCCTTCCTGGTGGGAGGTCAAAATAGACCCAATGTTTATTCTCAGCTTTGCTCAACAGTCATGCCTGGATCAAGCTGACCACTGTTAACCCATTCAACCAATACTGTCTGTAAATATTATAGAGTGGGCCTTTAATTAACTTGTGCAATGCAGATTGGATTGAAAAGCAAAAACCAGATTTACGATGCCTTGATGCCTTTGCTATCCTCTATAATAATCCTATATACAGTGTAACATTATCATGACTCTTAATCTACTGCTTTCAATCATTTCTCTACTGCATATTTACCTACTCATGACATGCTTTCAGATAATAACCTTTGACCTATACTAACTCCTGTTAACCCTTTCTACTCTCTTCACTTCCTGCTTTTCTGCCGGCCTATAACACTGTCACCAATAGGATGACGAGGAGGGCATTTGGGCATAATCGTGTCCATGATGACAACCAAAGCTCTGACGTTCTGAGGGGTGAGATGTTTTGAAACACAGATTTTTCCTACCTTTTCGCTTTCACTTCCTGTTTTCTCTTCGGTTCTTCTGTTCTATATCTCTGTGTTAGGAGTGTGCTGTGGTTTTATTTGTTTAGCTAACTGATGAGTATCTCTCTCTCTGTCTGTGTCTGTGTCTCTCTCTCTCTCTCTCTCTCTCTCTCTCTCTCTCTGGGTCCTAGATGATTCAGTCACTATTGGAAGAGCACAGCCATGCCATGATGCTGAAACACATTGACCAAACATTTGTTACCGCCACACAATCCACACTTCAAAATGGGGCCTTTATTTTTTACTGAGGATGAGGAAGATGATGAAGCAGGTGGGAGGGCCAGACGAAGACACTGATAGTTGAGCAGGTAAAATGTATTTCTAGATTCAGTAACACTTGATTTGGAGAGTCCCCTTTAGGTGTAACTTTCCGAAAATTCCTTGGTTTTCCAGAAATCGCGGTTGGAAGATTCCTGGATTTCCTGATTATTCACTCCTAATTCCAGGAATCTTTCAAGTGGGATATCAGGAAAACCTGGGAAAGTTACCTGAATTTTGCAATCCTAGTCCCCTTACAGAATGTTTGTAGTCCCCTGTTGCTCAGTTGGTAGAGCATGGCACTTGCAACGTCAGGGTTGTGGGTTCGTTTCCCACGGGGGGCCAGTATGAAAATGTATGCACTCACTAACTGTAAGTCGCTCTGGATAAGAACGTCTGCTAAATGACTAAAATGTAAAATGTTGTAGATATAGGATAAAGCACTGTGAGTTACTGTTTAGTAACTGTTTAGTGTTCATTCAACAATCACTGTAAAAGGACAGGAACGACTGTAGTGCTAATTGCACCATTGTGTGTATTTTTACAGATGACTGAGGAGCCATCATGTGAAGAGCACTCTACAGACATTAGAGAAACTGGTCAGCTCTTTGAGAGTGACTCTGTGGAGGATGAGTGGCCCTACACAGACACAGAGGTGCTGTCTGTGAAGTTAGACTGGGTTGGACAGACTGGGTCCCCCTCAGACAGACACAGACAGACAGATGAGCTGTCTGGTCTCAGCTCCGTGGTCCTGCTCACACAACCAAACTCACACAGCCGCTCTGGCCCAGTTGTGAAGCTGCACAGCTCCCCTGTCCGTCCGTCCCCAATCTCACCAACCTGCATCTAATTGGTTCACTCTCCTGACTCCACCTTGCTTACCTGAGCTGCCCTGTTTACCTGATTTGCCCCGCCCTATTCATCCCAGGCTGGCTCTGATTGGCTCCCCTGCCTGTCAGTCTCCTCCCTACTGACAGTATTCACAGCACTTCGTTTACTCATATGTTGTTTTTTGTTGTTTTCTCTTTTTCAGAAATAGCCTGCTCTCTTCCCACATATTTTAGGAAGTGCCATACAGTTACAGCTTCAGTTAACTTTTAAATTGTTGTGCTACTTGTTTTTATCTTCTAATTACCTTTTGTTGAGAGTGTTTCATCTGCAGTACTTGACTATGGCTATGATTGCTTTGTGTTAAGTGCATCAGAACAAGGAAGAGGAACCAATAGGCAGCCACTACAGCTCTTATCAGACCAATAGGCAGCCACTACAGCTCTTATCAGACCAATAGGCAGCCACTACAGCTCTTATCTGACCAATAGGCAGCCACTACAGCTCTTATCTGACCAATAGGCAGCCACTAAAGCTCTTATCGGACCAATGGGCAGCCACTAAAGCTCTTATCGGACCAATGGGCAGCCACTGGCCTTGCCTCTAGTACTGAAAGTTTACTTGTGCTGTTAATGTGCAGTCTGGCATGGCCTTATGGGTAGGGCCCTGTAGTAGGGGTTTGCAGGGCCTTTGGGCTTAGGGCTGCCAACTGTGTATCTATCCTGTTACCTCGGTTGATAACCAGACACAGTCAGAACTCCAATCTATGCAGACGTCAGAACTAATAATGCAGCTTTTATCCAGTCATGAGTCAAGGGCACCAATCAAAAAGCATTTAGATGTCTTAAACCAGTACCAGTACCAATCAGAATGGTATTTTCAGAACATACACCAATCAGATTACATGATGGTGTGTTTCTCAACGTTATATGCACCTATGCACCTCCTCCTCCCCTGTTTCAGGGATACTTCTAATGGTGCTTTTAGATCACTGGTGCTCACAACATGATGTTCTACCAGAGACACAGCCAAGGGACATGGCCATTGGACATTGTGCAACCATGTCACTAAATAGGGATGTTGATCCCAAAACCTGGCTTGCTTATGAACTGTAGAAGACTGTATTGTATGTAGGATCAGCTGGAGAGACTCTGAGAGAATGGGACAGGAATATATACATTTAATGCCATCCATGGGCACCCAGGTGTATGAGATTTCCTGCCATACCTTTATAGTCCTCTCTCCCTCCTCCCTCCTCTTCTTCATCCTCTCGTCTCCTCCTTTCTTCTTATCTTTCAGCAGTCAGTCTGTGCTAACCCAAACCCAAACCTAGTGACTCGTTCATATTGTATACATATTATAGATATATATAGAGAGAGATCTATAGTCTATATGTGGTCAGAATACTGTGTCAGAAAATAATATTGAGGATAAAAATACATGGTTTTGTATTTTTCAAACTGGCCTGAGGATAAAAAAACATTAATTGTGTGGAGTAACATTTGTGACTTTCCGCTGTTTTGTACATTCCAAGAAAAACTTAGCAGCAAGTAACATTCCCTGTATGAAAACAGACTGGCTCTCACAAAGGAAAGTCTGGCCTAAGGAACCTTGAGACACAGTCCAAAGGAAAGAAGACCATTCCATTCTCATTTAGAAGAGCTGTTACATTCCTGTTGCAGTGTGATAAATATTTTTTGAGACACACACACTCACTATAGTATCAATGAGATTATTTCTGAAACTTGCACTTGGGAGTGAGGACTATCACTACCATCGTTAAAGTGGAGGTTTGGAGTGACTCCGTGGTTGCAGATGCATTATCCAGACAGTCTCTGTGTTGTGTGTTTGTTTGTTGTCGTCGTCAATGTCATTGTCCCGGTGTATCCAGATGTGGTGACATACGTGACAGTTGAGTGTGTAGAGAACAACAAAAACCCTTCCATTGGCAAAACACTCCCCCTCCACCACTACCACCACTCCCCCTCCACCACTACCACTCCCCCTCCACCACTACCACCACTCCCCCTCCACCACTACCACTCCCCCTCCACCACTACTACCACTCCCCCTCCACCACTACCACCACTCCCCCTCCACCACTACCACCACTCCCCCTCCACCACTACCACCACTCCCCCTCCACCACTACCACCACTCCCCCTCCACCACTACCACCACTCCCCCTCCACCACTACCACCACTCCCCCTCCAGCCTCCATCCTCCATGGTGTGTGTGTGTGTGTGTGTGTGTGTGTGTGTGTGTGTGTGTGTGTGTGTCTCCTTGTGGCTGATATCGTGACTGTTGTAGAAAGGTGCCCCATTCTCCAACGGGTACCAAACAAAACGTGATCCACTTACAACCGTCAACTCTGTGTCCATTTGTCTGTCAGCTTCAACACAGAATACAGACAGGACATGAATCTCACAACTCATCCTCTCATTGACCAAGAATTACAAGTTCCAGATATTGGTATTAATGAAAAAGAGAAGGTAATGCAGAAAAGGAGTTAAAAACCTCTCACTTTACCATCAGGCTTGGTTGAAGATGGGAAGGTTAAGACAGTGTAATAATTCCATGCGGAAGCATTCACAAACAAAAAAAATAATGGGACCAGCGCCGTTGCTGGATTCTACAGGATTAGCATTGAAACGTGACCAGCGGTCAGGAAGTCCAGTAATAAAGTGTCTAGATTATTTTAAAAACGTCTAAATGAATAGAATGACAGTAAAGCAGTTATGCTATGTGTTCAATGAGTAGTTAGCTGAAATTCACTACTGTTGTGTTACTTTTTCACTTTGATGGCGAACTGCTGCTGCTACCTTTAACTCTCAGTCATTCCGAATGCGGAAGCTGATCCCTTGTTGAATATTGGTGCAAAGAGTTATGGGATATTAGAATCCTCTTGTCTTAACCTGTATATTTTGAACGTAGCCATCAAGGGGAACGGATTCAGAATCCCCCATTTTCAGGTCCTTTACTACTGAATAGTTGAAGTATGGGTTATCCTACCATGAGAAGTGACTATACAGCACTTGGTATATAGAACATGGTAGAAAACGTGGAACCCTTCATTTATGCCCATGCATGCAGATTTTTACGTAATGTGCCAACTGAGAGTGATAGTCTGCGGAGATTCCTGTCCTCTGTGCAGAGATCTTGATGTGCAGTCATCAGTTAACATACACCAGGGTTGTGTTCATTAGGGCATGCAACGTTTTAAAACACTTTGCAATGCAAAATGAGAATGAGCGTTTGTTATTGGACAAGTCCAGGTAGTCCTTCCCTGTTTCTGTAGATTTTTCTTCTGTTTGGTGCCTAATGAACATGACCCAGGAGTTAAAGACAACAGACTTCACCAATAGCGATCAAGGGAGTAAAAGGCCTTCTGATTCAAATAGAAGTATGAGAAGCCTAATACAGGCGGACAGATTCCCCTTCTTTGTCTTGTACAAGTTGCATTTGATTTATTGTATGACGTTGAACATGCAAACCTTTGGATCAAACAAAACACTGTGACCAATGCCAGAAACATTTTTGTTTTCTTTTACTTCAAATTTGTGTTTTTACTTTTGTAGATTTATTTTAAAATGTAAAGCTGGAATCCTTAATGGTGAAACTGCCACGTCTGTTTGGGATAATACAACAACAAAGAAGTTGCTGCAAGACTGTTTGTTTCCCTCTGACATCATTGCACGTGTGATAGAACAGCAGACTATGTACTGCACTCATTCTTTTTTTGCGTTGATGCGCGACGCTCCTCTCCTCTGCTTTGTTAACAAAACAAAAACAATAATGACAGTGGCGCTGTTTTCCCTCTTTAAGTTATACCTTTTTTTTGTTTGTTTGGCTTATTGAATATGTCAGTTTGGGACTGTACTATGTGTATAAGTAAATGTTTTCTGTACAGTAAGGATTTAGGAACAAGTTAAATGTGTATCCAGCATGTTGAGTGATTACTTGTGTGAACCTGGGCTTATTTCCCATGATGCTCTAGTCCTCATACATGAAGTGCATCTGCATCGTGACGGTGTGATGTTGTGTTTGAGAGTGGTGTGTCTCCTCACTTAACCTGTCCCCCTAGTAGACAGCCTGTGCAGTGTTATGAGCGAGGAAGCATGTTTTTGGGGTGTTGCGGGTGTAAATCTGTAAGAAAGAATGTGTGTGTGTGTGTGTGTGTGTGTGTGAGAGAGACCGAGAGAGAAGTGATAAAGTGTTTGTGTGTGTGCGTATGTACGTGTCTCTGTGTACTATATATTTTCTTGTTTGTTGGCGCGTGAGTGCAAGAAAGAGTCAAAGAGAGAGGGAGAGATGCAAAACCCTCTATTGCAGGGAGCCCTTGAGAGAGAAAGAGAGATGTGAAACCCTCTATTGCAGGGAGCCCCTTGAGAGAGAGAGTTGTGTTCAGCATGGACACTGTGTGTCATGTTTGGTGTTTTTCGGAGGCTGTCTCCAGTGCCCCAGACATTTCTATTGTATGTGCTGTATCAGAATATTACTATTGAGTGTTGGCCAGCTTGTTTATATCCATTCAATAAAGGTGACTTTATTTCTGACTTGTGTGTTGGCTGGTCTCTGTACTTAGAACAAATTGTTTTAAACCTGCTCATGTGGTTTTCCTGTGGTGGCTGAAGACTGGTCGGCTGTTTGAGCCAGAAAAGGGTGCTTTGCTATTCTTGGGTAGCAGAATGACTTTTGCTTCCCTCCAGGTCTGAGGGCACACACTTTCCTGTAGGCTTAGATTGACGAGATGGTAAATAGGAGTGGCAATATAGTCCGCTGTCATCCTCAGTCATTTTCCGTCCAAGTTGTTCAGACCCAGGTGGCTTGTCATTGTTGATATATAGCAATAATTATTTTCACCTCTTCCACACTCACTTTAAGGAATTCAAAATGACAATGCTTGTCTTTCATCATTTGGTCAGTTCTGAATGGATGAGTAGGTTCAGAGTTTGTTGTTGTCATGTCATGCCTAAGTTTGCTAATCTTGCCAATGAAAATCATTAAAGTAGTTGTCAATATCAGTGGGTTTTGTGATGAATCTGATTAAATGAAGGATGGAGCCGAGTTCGCCTTTTTTAGCCCAAAATTGTATATAAGTTGCTCCAAAGTGTTTTATTATCATTCTTTACATAATTTATCTTTGTTTTCTAATACAGTTTATTCTTCTTTTTGTTTAGTTTAGTGACATGATTTCTCAATGTACAGTATGTTTGCCATTCCTTTCGCCTCATCCCTTTCAAAGATACAATTTTTCAATTTCTCATCAATCCACTGGGATTGAACAGTCTGTACAGTCATTTTCTTAATGGGTGCATGGTTATTTGTAACTGGAATAATTTGAATGTGTCAAATGCAGCGTCTGGTTGCTCCTCTTTGCACACAACAGACTAGCAAATATTCTTTACATCTTAAAAATAGGAATCACTGCAAAACCTCTTGTATGACCTCTTATACACTATATTAGGACCAGCCTTTGGAACTTTATTTTTCCTAGATATGGCTACTGTATTATGATCACTACATCCGATGGATGTGGATACTGCTTTAGAGCAGATTTATGTAGCATTAGTAAAGATGTAATCGATACTTGTGGATGATTTCATTCCTGCGCTGTTTACAAATACCCTGGTAGGTTGACTGATAACCTGAACCAGGTTGCAGGCACTGGTTACAGTTTGAATAATTTTCTTGAGTGGGCAGGTTGATGAAAGCCAGTCAATATTTAGGCCACCCAGAAAATATACCTCTCTGTTCATATCCAGGCTCTGTCGTAGCCGGCCGTGACCGGGAGACCAATGGGGCGGCGCACAATTGGCCCAGCGTCGTCCAGGGTAGGGGAGGGAATGGCCGGCAGGGAGGTAGCTCAGTTGGTAGAGCATGGCGTTTGCAACGCCAGGGTTGTGGGTTCGATTCCCACGGGGGGCCAGTATGAAAATAAAAAAGAATAATGTATGCACTAACTGTAAGTCGCTCTGGATAAGAGCGTCTGCTAAATGACGTAAATGTAAATGTAAATGTAATATCACATACATTATCAAGCATTTCACACATAGTCCAAATACTGATTTTAGCACTTGGTTGTATAGCAACTTCCTATGAGAATAGACTTTAGGTGAGGCAGATAATTCTGTAGCCGTATTACTTTAAAGTGAGATGTGTCTACACTGTAAAGACTCACTATCCATCTATACACAGTAACCCTGTCTCAATCACTATTCTTGGTAAGAAAGTATTACTTAATACACTGATCTGGTTGAGTTACTTTGTTCTAATAGAAAAGTGTCACCTCAAGATGGCATCAAACATGCATTTCTCAACAATGTATTCTCACCATTTCAGTAATTTAACATACAGTTGAAGTCGGAAGTTTACATACACTTAGGTTGGAGTCATTAAAACTAGTTTTTCAACCACTCCACGCATTTCTTGTTAACAAACTATAGTTTTGGCAAGTCGGTTAGGACATCTACTTTGTGCATGACACAAGTGATTTTTCCAACAATTGTTTACAGACAGATTATTTCACTTATAATTCACTGTATCACAATTCCAGTGGGTCAGAAGTTTACATACACTAAGTTGACTGTGCCTTTAAACAGCTTGGAAAATTCCAGTCCTGGCTTTAGAAGCTTCTGATAGGCTAATTAACATAATTTGAGTCAAGTGGAGGTGTACCTGTGGATGTATTTCAAGGCCTACCTTCAAACACAGTGCCTCTTTGCTTGACATCATTGGAAAATCAAAAGAAATCAGCCAAGACCTCAGAAAAAAAATTGTAGACCTCCACAAGTCTGGTTCATCCTTGGGAGCAATTTCCAAACGCCTGAAGGTACCACGTTCATCTGTACAAACAATAGTATGCAACTATAAACACCTTGGGACCACACAGCCGTCATACTGCTCAGGAAGGAGACGCGTTCTGTCTCCTAGAGATGAACGTACTTTGGTGCGAAAAGTGCAAATCAATCCCAGAACAACAGCAAAGGACCTTGTGAAGATGCTGGAGGAAACAGGTACAAAAGTATCTATATCCACAGTAAAACGAGTCCTATATCGACATAACCTGAAAGGTCGCTCAGCAAGGAAGAAGCCACTGCTCCAAAACTGCCATAAAATGCAGACTACGGTTTGCAACTGCACATGGGGACCAAAATCGTACTTTTTGGAGAAATGTCCTCTGGTCTGATGATACAAAAATATAACTGTTTGGCCATAATGACCATCGTTATGTTTGGAGGAAAAAGGGGGTACTTGCAAGCCAAAGAACACCATCCAGCATGGCAGCATCATGTTGTGGGGGTGCTTTGCTGCAGGAGGGAATGGTGCACTTCACAAAATAGATGGCATC